TCCTTTCGATCCGGAGGAGCAGCGGTTCTACTCCGAGTCCCTCCCGAATGTCCGAGCTCCTCACCCTATCTCTAAAGCTGAGCCCGGCCACCCTACGGAGGAAACTCATTTCGGCCGCTTGTATCCGCGATCTCGTTCTTTCGGTCATTACCCAAAGCTCATGACCATAGGTGAGGATTGGGACGTAGATCGACCGGTAAATCGAGAGCCTGGCTTTCTGGCTCAGCTCCCTCTTCCCCACGACAGATCGGCTCAGCGTCCGCATCACTGCAGATGCCGAACCAATCCGCCTGTCGATCTCCCGATCCCTCCTACCCTCACTCGTGAACAAGACCCCGAGATACTTAAACTCCTCCACTTGAGGTAGGACCTCTCCCCTGACCCGGAGGTGGCAAGCCACCCTTTTCCGGTCGAGAACCATGGTCTCAGATTTGGAGGTGCTGATCCTCATCCCAGCCGCTTCACATTCGGCCGCGAACCTACCCAGCAAGAGCTGAAGGTCAGAGCTGGATGAAGCTAGGAGGACCACATCATCCGCAAAAAGCAGAGACGAGATTCTCCTGCCACCAAACTCGACACACTCCACACCACGGCTGCGTCTAGAAATTCTGTCCATAAAAGTGATGAACAGAACCGGTGACAAAGGGCAGCCCTGGCGGAGTCCAACCCTCACTGGGAACAGGTCCGACTTACTACCGGCTATGCGGACCAAACTCACGCTCCTCTGGTAAAGGGACTGAATGGCCCTTAACAGAAAGCCACCCACCCCATACTCCTGGAGCGTCCCCCACAGGGTGCCCCTGGGGACACGGTCATAAGCCTTCTCCAAATCCACAAAGCACATGTGGATTGGTTGGGCAAACTCCCATGCCCCCTCCATCACCCTTGCAAGGGTATAGAGCTGGTCCACAGTTCCACGGCCAGGACGAAAACCACATTGCTCCTCCTCTATCTGAGATTCAACTATCGATCGGACCCTCCTCTCCAGTACCTTGGCGTAGACCTTTCCAGGGAGGCTGAGGAGTGTGATCCCCCTATAGTTGGAACACACCCTCAGGTCACCCTTCTTAAAGATGGGGACCACCACCCCGGTCTGCCACTCCCTAGGAACTGCCCCCGATGACCACGCAATGTTGCAGAGACGTGTCAACCATGACAGCCCTACAACATCCATAGCCTTAAGATAGCCAGGACGAACCTCATCCGCCCCCGGGGCTCCGCCGCTGTGTAGTTGTTTGACTACCTCAGCAACTTCTGCCCCTGAGATCGGACAGTCCATCCCCAGGCCTCCCAGCTCTGGTTCCTCCTCGGAATGCGCATTGGTGGGATTGAGGAGCTCCTCAAAGTATTCCTTCCACCGTCCGACTATAGCCTCAGTTGACGTCAGCAGCTCCCCATCCCCACTGTAAACAGTGTGAGCGAGTTGCTGCCTTCCTCTCCTGAGGCGCCGGACAGTTTGCCAGAACCTCTTTGGAGCCGATCGATAGTCTTTCTCCATGGCCTCACCAAACTCCTCCCACGCCCGAGATTTTGCCTCGGCAACTGCCACTGCTGCACCCCGCTTGGCTATCCGGTACCTGTCTGCTGCCTCCGGAGACCCACAGACCAGCCACACCCTGTAGGCCTCCTTCTTCAGCCTGACGGCTCCCCGAACCTCTTGTGTCCACCAGCGGGTACGGGGGTTGCCACCACGACTGGCACCGGCCACCTTACGACCACAGCTAGCAACAGCCGCCTCGACAATCGCAGAGTGGAACAAGGCCCACTCGGACTCAATGTCCCCCACTGCTCTCGGGACGTGGTCAAAGCTCTGCCGGAGGTGGGAGTTGAAGACCGTCTTGACAGGTTCTTCTGCCAGGCGTTCCCAGCAGACCCTCACTATGCGTTTGGGTCTGCCAGGTCTACGCGGCATGTTCCCTTGCCATCTGATCCAACTCACCACCAGGTGGTGATCAGTTGACAGCTCCGCCCCTCTCTTCACTCGGGTGTCCAAAACATACGGCCGCAGGTCAGATGATACGACTACAAAATCTATCATCGACCTGTGACCTAGGCTGCCCTGGTACCAAGTGTACCGGTGGGCATCCTTATGTTCGAACATGGTGTTCGTTATGGCCAAACTGCGGCTTGCACAGAAGTCCAATAACAAAACACCGCTCGAGTTCAGATTAGGTGGGCCGTTCCTCCCAATCACACCCCTCCAGGTCAAGCTGTCATTGCCCACGTGAGCATTGAAGTCCCCCAGCAGGACAATGGAGTCCCCTGATGGAGCACTATCTAGCACTCGTCCCAGGGACTCCAAAAAGGGTGGTTACTCTGAACTGATATTTGGCCCATAAGCACAAACAACAGTCAGGACCCGTTCCCCGACCCGAAGGCGCAAGGAAGCTACCCTCTTGTCCCCCGGGGTAAACCCCAACACACAGGCAGAGAGTCTCGGGGCTAACAAAAAGCCAACCCCAGCCCTCCGCCTCTCACCCGGAGTAACTCCAGCAAAGTAGAGTGTCCAACCCCTCTCCAGGTCTCGGGTTCCAGAGCCAATGCAATGTGTCGAGGTGAGTCCGACTATATCTAGCCGGTACCGCTCAACCTCTGCCACAAGCTCCGGCTCCTTCCCCGCCAGCGAGGTGACGTTCCATGTCCCAAAAACTAGTTTTCTTGTCCGGGGATTGGACCGCCAAGGCTCCCGCCTTGGTCTGCCACCCGATTCGCATTGCACCGGACCCTTCATGTTCCTCCTGCGGGTGGTGGGTCCACAGTTGGACGAGCCCATGTATCCGGTTCGGGCTGGGTCCGGCCGGGCCCCATGGGCGAAAGCCCGGCCACCAGGCGCTCGCTCACGGGCCCCAACCCCAGGCCTGGCTCCAGGGTGGGACCCCGGTAACCCTCCGGGCCGGGTACTCCGACTCTTCGTTTTAACCGCCATGAAAGATCCTTCGAACCGTTCTTTGTCTCACCCTTCACCTAAGACCAATTTGTCATGGGAGACCCTACCAGGGGCACTAAGTGCCCCAGACAACATAGCTCCTAGGATCATTAGGGCACTCAAACTCCTCCACCACGATAAGGTGACGGTTCAAGGAGGAGTGTTCAGTATTTGGTAATATTAAACTCTTCTTCCAATACAAATGTGGCCTGCATTTTATATAGCGACTTCTAGAGTCCTGGAACCCCCCAAGGCGATTTACAACACAATCAGTCATTCACCCATTCACACACACATTCACACGCTGGTGGGGATGAGCTACACTGTAGCCACAGCTGCCCTGGGGCACACTGACAGAGGAGTGGCTGCCGAACACTGGCGCCACCGGTCCCTCCGACCACCATCAGCAGGCAAGGGGGGTTAAGTGTCTTGCCCAAGGACATAATGACAGTGACAAACTGAGCGGGGCTCGAACCTGCAACCTTTCGATTGCGGGCAAGCACTTAACTCATGTGCCACCGCCACAAACAGTAAACAAGAATCGGCTCATAATTCTCCTAGAAATAAACGCTTTTAATAAAAAAGTTATTATTTTATAAGCTAAACTGGATTTGTGAGTCATTATTACAGAGTAAGGCGCAAACTGTCTCTTTGAAGTGAAAAATTGAGCATTGTTGCACATTTTGGGGATATTTCGCTCACATAAAATATTAAATGGGTCGGATTTATGTCAAACCTATTGCAACAACATATATTATTTAACTAAGGATTGCAAATAAACAGCTAAGAATAATTTTGGTTAAAAGATTTGGCTGACACCTCTGAAAGTCAGGAATGTTTATGTGTCTATTTCCAGGTCTTTAAAGACAAACAGAGACAGAAAACATTTATAGGCGCAATCAGACGGTTGAAAACAGCCTCCAGTGTCTGGGATGTGCACATGCATGCATGGTGGACAGTCCCTCTCCCCCCACTTTTTGTTTTTCCTTCTTCCTCCTCCATTCCTGGTCATTGCTCGTCAAACCAGATGATATGAATGTCAGTGTTTACTCTCAGGGTTCGTACAGGGCCCGTGTCTGGACTTGACTCCCAGAGATACTGGAGCCTTTAGCAGTCCAGGCTCTTGGTTCCCTGGGAGCAGCAGAGTGCAAGAACTCTTAACTGCCTTACAACTTTGTAGCCAGCCTCTAACATTAACATACAAATGCCAAAACTAAATTCTAGCTTTGTGCTGTTAAGTGTGAGAAATTTTAGCTATTTATTATTTTGTTTGCAGATGAAAAAGATGAGTTTTCAACTTTCACTTGTTTTATCACTATATGACATTCCAAGACCAATTTAAACTATATTTGCTATAGCAAATGTGGAAATGGCTCAAAAATATATCAGTATGCTAATAAAAGCTTAAGTCCTCTATTTATTTAAGGGCGTGGAACACTGAAAAAATGTTTTTTCATAAAAATTTCTGAAGATAATCAGTCACTGAGTTTTTCATGCAGGTTGAACATGAAAATTGTGTCCTACACCTATCTCCTGCCTTAGCTTCTGATAGAAAATAGACAGTGAAACTCTAGGATTTAAAAAGCCTGACAGATCTATGTCACACTGTCACTTACCATTCATGGACTCTCCCATCTTGACCCATCACGAGAGAAGCTGTTGTTGGTTTAGTGTTAGGAAATCAGCAGAGAATGCCTCAGCTAGAAGAAGCTAACCATTAGCATTAGCAGCTCCACCACACAGCAGAACTCTTCCAGGCTTGTGTTGTTTGTGGAGATAAAACATCAACGTTGCAGCGCAAACTGAGCTAGTGCTAGAGTCACGTTGCTGTCATGTTTTTTTAATTTATTATATAAATACTGGAATCGAGTGACTTTTCATGAAAAAAGATTAAAAATACCTTTCTCATGCTTCTTTCTGTTGCTCTAAAAAATATGTTATGCAAGTTTTGAGCCTTTTTTTTCCTCTTCTGTGACTTATGATATATTTGTGACATCAACAAGATTGCTGCTAGCAAGATGTAAACAATAAATGTAAAGAAGAATGATTTAATGTTGTGTTTTGCTGTTCTCAGGTTGTGCGTGCTCGTCCAGGATGACTATGGGACTTTCAGCGTGGTCCAGCTGCAGCCGCTGCCCCGCAGCAACGAGCTCCACCGGTTCTGCCAGATGTGGCAGGGGAGGACCTGTGTGCTGAGAGGCATTAAAGTGGTGCAGCGGGTCACTCGAGAAAGGTGATACTCACATTCTCCTATTTACTCGTTTTTCTGAGTAAGGGGAGCTTTTCTCCTGAATTTCAATTCACAAAAGTTCAGCTTGTCGGCAGCAAGAATTTCCAGTTTGTCTTTTTGCTAAATGTGAGGCTAGCTCACAGTCTTCAGCAACTGACAGCCTTGGGTCTTTGACAGACGGGTGCTGATGTAGCCTCCTTTTGTTTTGGGATTCCCCAGAACCATTAATCATCTAGAAACATTTGGGTTATTTTTTCAAACATAAACATTCACATTTACAACACAACGAGGATCAACGTTTGTTGCTCCCATGAACCCGACGATGCTGTCCTGCCAGCAGTGTGACTGTGTTTACATGTAAAGTGATACCGAGGTGCACACTCTTGTGCTCCACGTGAGTTTCCGTATTCAAGATCCCAGATTAGCTTCAGTTAGTAGAACTGAAACGGGAACATTAAGAAACTGTCTGGAGTATGTTTACATCCGTAATATTTTCTACTTTCTATGATTTCTCTGGAAGCTGTGTGTGGCTGCAGTGTGATGGATGCATGGCCTGTCTTCAGTGGGGTTGTCCGAGTTCAGTCAGACATGTTTAAATTCTAAGAGATCCACTCAGTGCAGAAATAGTTTGTCTTGTTGTCAGAGTTGTTTGTTATATGGGCTAATTAAAAAGAATGGCAGCTGTTTTATATCTGATAAATGTAACTTTGTATACCTTAAAGGCTAGAGGCTGAACCAAAGGACCAGCATGGTTCTCTTTATAGTTGGGAACAGAAAACACCCCAAAACACTACTGAGGTCTAATTTTAAGTCTGTCAGAATTAGAAAAACCAAGTTTAGAGTCAAATATATTTATACACTTTGTGTCTCACTGCACCAAAATGTAAAGAGGTGTCTGAGGAGAGGTGATGTTTAGAAGAAAAAATGTTTTCTTATATAGCGCCTCTTAAGATAAAAATCACAAAGTGCTTCAAAAGAAAGTTAAAAATAAGAAAGTATTTTAAAATATCATAATAAAAAATGTGAAGGGCAAAAAAAGGGAAAATGTGAAGTTATCTTTTACTAAATCTCTAAACACTCATCAGACGTGCTGCACCAATGGAGCATATTAGACGTGTTTCCCCTATAGGAGTTCTTAGAAATTTCTGCGAGGGGAGAAAGTGATGGTAAAACATGGTGGCTGAGTCCTCTCAACGGTTGTATACAAATTTGGCCCTTTCAGGACAATGAGACGTCAGAATATTGCTACAGTTACATTGGTAATCGGCACCAAAACACGTCCACAGAGATTAACATTAAAGTGTTTATTCTGTCAAGTACGCCGTAGGGCTGGGCGATGTGGCCTAAAATCAATATCACGATCGATATATTGAGGATTTCACCTCGATAATGATAAATGGATGATAACTGCAGGTAACAAAAGTTGTCCACGAGATGGGGCTGTCACATGTATTACGTTGTCACATTTTTACGTGATTTAAGGTGGTACAGCTTCTTAAAGGGACATGAACGTTGCCAACCTACACACATATTTTCATTTTTTTACTATCAAACTTATTGACATGGGAAAAATGTTCCCGATAAGAGTCAGAAAATTCCAATAACGATACATTTTTGATTTATTGCCCAGCCCTAGTACACCATAATTTAATCCATTCTGGGAACTGGGAACGCAGCTGGATGACGAAAAAAGACATTGAACAACAGCTCTGTTTAGACTAGAAAGAAGCCACAGTTGCGTTAGTCTAGGGGTATTTTCTACAGATTATTTCACCGTTGGCAGTTTCAAAACTGATTTTAAAGCAGCATGAACATTGTCTTTTTTTCCATTCTGTTTCACCGGCAGCTCTTAAAGCATTTACTAATGCCGGTTGTTTTGGCGAGGTCTGCCGATGTAATTCCCATCTGAGTTACAACTAGTCAGCATTTGTTAAAGAGGAACTAGGCGGTTTTGGCTTGCTTTTAGCACCCCTTAGTGTCTGTTTGTTGAACCGAAAGCAAAACCTGTCTCCCCGATGTTTGGTCTTTTTAACAAAAAAAGCTGAAATGTCTCCCCAACTTTCCTTGGTGTCTACAGGAGTGATTCATCACTAAATTAAACGAATCAGCTGTGTTCATGATCTAAAACATGCAGGAAACGTGCTGGAAGCAGACTGCAGCAGGGGCGGATTTAGGACTGAAGAAGATCCGGGGCTTAACACACACGCGCGCGCACACACGCGCGCGCACACACACGCGCACACACACGCATGCGCGCACACACGTGACACGCACTAGTCAACATCATATATATATATATATCTTGTACCACATAATGTTTAATCTGAAGCTACATATTCAGCATATTCAGGGCAGAGTATTGTTCCTGTTAGTGTTTAGTGTGAGATGATAGTGAATATTCCCTTTCTTTCTCCAACAACTTTACCTGATAGTAAGCTAACTTTAGGCAAACCAGCAGCACAACAAATATTTTCAAATAAGACTCACAAACCTGAGTCAACACCAGTCTCATCAGAGCTGGGGTTCTGTCGTTGTACTTTTGGTCTAAAAAAACGTCCTTATATCCATCTTCACTCATGCGTTTCAGACAGAGACTGCAGAAGCCAGCTGCTGAAGGGCTTCTCTTCAGTCTCAGGTAAACTGTATACTGACAAAGTAGCCTAGTGGTAGAGTGTCTGCCCTGAGATCGGGAGATCAGGGGTTCGACTCCTGGTCGGGTCACACCAAAGATTTTGAGAAAAATGGGACCCAATGCCTCCCTGCTTGACACTCAGCATTGGATTGGGGTTGGATTGGGGTGTTAAACCACCAAATAGTTCCCGAGCGCGGCGTGTCTGCAACTCAGGGGATGGGTCAAAATTGGAGAATAAATTTCACCACACACCTGTGTGTGTGACGACTAAATGGGACTTTACAAACTACTGCCAGCTGCGCCCTCTCTGTGTGACTTTGGTACTGCATGTTACTTCCGCGATTTAGATCCGGGGCTTATCATGAAAGATCCGGGGCTTCAGCCAAAGTAGCCGGGCCTAACGCCGCCCCTGGACTGCAGTGCTAGGTATGAGAGCAGCCCGCCAGTCTGAAGTTGTAAGTGGGATATTCTGACCGCAGGGGGCGATAGCGGCTGTATGGCCTTTCATTAACCCTGTAAAGGGTCATTTTAGCACAAACTGGCACAAGAAAATGATTTAAAAATATGAAAAAGCTGCAAAGTATCACTTTAAACACAAGTCTTGCCCAGCAACTCTACTGGGTCATTTTCTTGTACATACCCCAGTTCAGGTACCCAGCTAGACCACTTTTTGGGCCCTTTCAGGAACCAGCTGAAACGGAACACGTACATTTGCGAAGGTCTGATAAAATTACCCAGAAGTTCTGGTAGTGGAAACGGGCCTATAGAGCTCCGGACGTCACGTGACTCAGAGAGTATACGCCATGTTGTTAGGCAACAAAGGTAAACAAAATGAACGGGATCGGCTTGGATTTTACTCCGTCGGAGTTTACTTCACACTTTAAAACCGAAGAAATCGTTTTATATAGTCAGAAATTAAATAGACTAAACATCTCCGACCCTTACCATGCTCCTGGGATACTTTTTAAAAACGCCAGAAGCTGTCGGAGCGGACCTGGCCAAGGAGCGCCTTGGGATTTCCCCGGAGGAGCCGGCCCAAGTGGCTGGGGAGAGGGAAGTCCCTCTCGACTTAGGCTACTGCCCCACGACCAGACTCCGGATAAGTGGATGAAAATGGATGGATGGACAAATAACACAGATTTACATGTAAGAAGTTTAAATAGAGTGCTGTGCTGTTTGAATGTATAAACTGAACGCCAAGAGAAATCACTAGTCTGATTTTTTCCGTGAGTAAAATAAATATGTCGGGCAGGAGCGTCTCAGGATCTGTCTGAGATCTGTCTCGGTGAGACAGATAATAGCAATCCAAAGTGCTTTTTATGTGTGATCTGACAATTGATCAACCATTGCTTAAAAATTAAATACAGCTTAGCCGGTTAATTGCTGTGATCATAAAACACGTAAACGGCAGCACGCAGAACTCACGAGGCAACGTTTTATGTGATGTTTACTTGTTGCTATGAGTAATAAGACAGAAAAAGCCACGCCAAAATAAGTTTAGGAAGCCCACTAAGAATCGTAATAAAAGCATTTAAAATAAACACCATACACAGTTGAGGAAACGTTGGTTTAAGAACCTGATATGAAGTGGTCGCTGCATAAGTGAAAACCTTTACTCTCGGCATCCCGCCCGTTTCATTTTAGCCCGGTCACTAGCGCGTTTTATTACAATGATCCAACGTTTGCAGCGTTCCGGATCTTGGGGAATCCTGTAGACGGCTCATTCCTTATGTCGTCCGCGTCTGTTCTGGCGTCCTGGGGCACAACAGGAATCTACCATATTTCCCTTTTGATTGAGTTTTCTGACAATAACAAATAGCCCAGCTGCCGGCTTCTGCCTGCCAATATGTCGCCGTTTCGATTTGAACTGTTGCATGCCGGGAGAAGTGACGTCAAGTCCCGGAGCTCTATAGTTATCTCAGAGCACACTAAAACTCCTCTCCCTTTCACTCACTCACTCCCTCTCACACTCACTCACTCACACACTCACTCACTCACTCTCACACACACACACACACACACACACACACACACACACACACTCACACACACAACTTTTAGTTATTCAGATAGAAAAGTAATGTGTTTATTTCCTGTGTAAATTTCCGTGCTGATATAGAGGGCAGGAGGCTAATTAGACTATTGATAAGATGTTGAAAATTTTTATTTGATCTGCTACACACACACACACACACACACACACACTCATACACACACTCATACACACACCATCCTCATTTATGAGTTATTTTGAGTTGTGGTTCTTCTTTGAAAACCAATAAAACTTAAAGGTGAATTTAGATACTTAAATGCATCAACTTTTCTCAACACTATAGGTTTCTTTTATAGTTTAAACCGACTGTGAGGACTGTTTTATGCCATCGTGTGTTGTCCACTTTCATCAAGGAAGAATTGTTTAAATGGTATAGCTTTGAATCTTTCACCTCTCATAATGTCTCAAGACTCCCAGCAACGGTACACTTGTGTGTACATAGTGTATTTAAACGTTGATACTTTGACAACTATTCAGCTCTAGAGCTTATTTCTGGTGGCTTTCTGTAGCTTAAATGTAGTTTTAATATGCTGATATGGCAGCAGTTACCATCTTATTTTTTGCTATTACTATTGTGAATAAAAGCCATTGAACCATAATTGAACTGCTAAATAATAATAACAGTGTGTAGCAATGTGTGAGCTTCCAGATTGATCATCCTGGCACATGGGTGAGTCACAGTCCCGGGACGTAACAGACTAATTGCTGGATAAATGCCAAGGAAATAAAACTTAAGAGGTTTACTTATTAACATAATTTGAAATAAAAATTGGATAAAAGCTGCTAACTGAACTACAGCCGCGCCCCGAAGCAGTTAAAACAAATGCAGGATTAGAATCACAATGCCTCCAATGAGCTTAGTTAGCTTGTCTTTACTCATCCACAAGTCGCCGTCACCGGACTGGACCGGGCGGCAGAACCAGTTCCACACAAAGAAACACTGTGATTAGAGGCTGACTAACCGGTTGTTAACCACTGAGTGATACGACGGCACCATTATGAATGAATAGGTGTCTAAACTCAAAGGCTTCTCAGAAAACAACGTGATTCAGAATGGATTTGATGGTTTTCCCCCCTTATCATATATTAATTCATCCTTCCAGGATCAGTTTGACGTCAGAGCAGCAGCGTAAAAGCACACCGAGTCTCATCCAGTCTCCGTCGGTTTGAACTGGGATTAGGAATGCGTTGAAAAGAGGACTTGTGGCACTAAATAAGAACTTTTAAAATCACTTGTAGTCCACCTTCTGAGTGTTGTTTACTCTGCCACATTGATGTCATGATTTACTCTGGTGTGAACTCGTTTTAGTCTCGAGCAGCTTTTAAAAACCATTTCTGAGTGGATCTGCTCTGCCAGCCCCAGCATGCTCTCTGTTGATTGTAGTCGACGCAAAAACATGCTGTGCCTTTACAAATTCACGTTTCAGTGGAAGTGAAACCGGCTGTGAAAGCTCTCCTTCTCCTCACTAAAGTCTCTCTAGTTTCTCCTTCTGTCCCCCTCCTTGGTGCCCCTCCTCACTCTCCCCCTCTCTTTTTTTTTGGTCTTTCACTTGCAGGCACTCCAGGCTTTTCAGCTTGATAGACAGCCTCTGGCCCCCAGCGATGCCTCTGAAAGATCATGGAAATTCACTTAGTATTCCTGATGTAAGTTCTCATTAAAGTGGAAAACACTGCTAACCTCCTTGAGCTGAAACTGTCTTTCATTTAGCAACTGATCTGTTAATTATGTTCCAAATCAGATGACGATATCTGAAAGTTTACACAAAATAATAATCAAAATGCTATTTTATAAATTAGAGAATAAGTGAAGTTTCAGGTATTTTTCAGCTAATAAAAATTAAATTGACCGTGCACCTTATACTTAAAAAATGCACACACAGCAAAATAAAAAGTAAAATGTATATTAGCAGTGGAAAATAACATTTTTGACTAAAAGCACAACAAATTTTTGTATTGGTGCATTTTTAAACATTCTTTTCTTCATTCTTATCATCTGAAACGGAGCGCGGTTACTTTCAGCAGCACATAATGATTACGCCGATGATCAAACTTAACTTGGCGTTGTGTTTCACTTTGCTCATTCAGCTTAATGCACATGTGACCTAATTCCAAGCCAAGGAGGGGCGTGCTTAGTTAAACAGTTACAGCTGACGTATTCTGGCTGCTGATATATGGAAGAAAATCAGACTTCTAGGTGTTTGTTTATTTAAATCAATGATAAATTGTCTAACTTTGCATGTTTTTTTGTTTTGTCTTATCTTCGCCAACTTTAATTTTATTTGATCTCTGCACATAGCGAGAAATCTAAGACTCCAAAATTTTAAAAGCTCTTTTGTTTTAATGTTTTTCTTCTAAAGGACTAACGGGGTTCAGTTCAATGATAAAAACATAGGACAAATATTGGCATACTGCTGTGCCACGGTCTCAAACTGCAAGCTTTTTTGTCATGGTATTTATCGTTCAACTAATTATTCAGAAACTTGCAATTAAATGTGGGATAAACATTTGATTTGACATTAAAGGTCAAAAAGGAGTGTACTGCAATAAACAATGTTTTATTCATTGGGCACACCTCAGAAATGTTGTATTTTTGCAGGAAAGCAGATCTCCTGGTCCAGCTCCAAGTTTCTGCTACCTGCTGTCAGGTCAGCAGAGTTCAGTTGAACCCACCGAGGGGTCGACCAGGTCACCGCTCTACCTTCCCCCTATAAAACAAACCTTACGAGACATACTGCAGGTGCTCACTTTCCTTACCGTGCACTAGCTCTCAGATTCAACTCATTTTTTAACATAATTTCTCTCCTGCAGAGTGAGACGAAAACCTTCCGTTGCAGTTTTGTGGCCACTGTTTTATACAAAAGAATGCAGGTATTTCTGACTGATTTAATCCACCTTTAGTGATAGAGGTGAGTAAATATTAGGCCTCATTCATCTTGTTGAGTTTATTTGGACTAACAAACTGATAAGCCCGAACTCTGACGTAGAGGGCAGCTTTCCTATCGCCCTGTTTGACTGTATAAGCTCCGCCATTCCTCATTGATTGGTGAGAACTTTAAACTTTGACCAGAGGAGATAGCTGCTCAGATTAAAGCCGTGGACTTTGCCACACACTCGCACCATTTTTCTGTCTTTGCACCGGTAATGCTAATTTATGTCCAGCCTCTTGAGTGAGCAATCACACACGGTTAAATATTTCCATCTACTACTGGCTTTGTAAGCTTTTCTCGTCTGATGTTTCCTTTTAAATCTTTCTGGGTCATTCTGAGTTTTTCTGAAACTTTTGTTCTTTTCTTCCTTTGTATGTTGCTCTGGTTCGACTTCAGAGCTCTGATGTAGGCCAGGGGGAGGTGTGGTTAGTGCTGACAGACCCCAGTCTTCAGGAGGAGCAGCTCGAGAGGCCGTGCAGGCGAACAGTGGCTCTGTGTGTGAACACTTCCTGTGTGCTCATTTCCTCTGTCCTCGAAGCATTGAATTCTCCCGCTGTCTACCAAATGTCGTTCAGAGACGCCATCAGAGAAAATGGTAGAGTGTTGCAGTGATTATTCAAGGGTTATCTTGTGTTTTTGGAGGGCCAAATCAGTATTTAGGAGCTTAACTGGATACAGGGAAATAAGCACTGACTAGGAATTACACTTTTCTTTGTGGCTAATCTTTGATGAGTTCATTAAAATTCTACATGAACATATTTGAGAGACAATGAAAGTTTGCTCTTTAAATAATGTAAAAAACAAATTTTCACCTGAGTTTTCATCTGTCCAAGGTGTCATAAATCTAAGCACTTGAAATGAAATAATCAATGTAGAAATCAGAATTTTATTTTTTTCAGAATCATTAAAGGTTGAGTGGAAGATGTTTTTCTGGGGCATTTTGTTTTGCCATATTCTTTATGTGCTCTTCACATACTGATGGCAATCAATAAATTAAGCCTTTTGTCCTAATATATATGTATATATATATATATATATATATATATATATATATATATATATATATATATATATATAAAATTGCCTCTGAAATGCACCATCTTAGAAAAACGTTATCCAGTCCCTGGCTCAGACCAGCTAAACAGGAAGCGATGCCAGAGCCAGGCTAGCTAGTGGACGGAATGTTTCAATCGGTTTGTTGTTTGCAAATTTCACTCATGTAGATGTTTTATGTGTTCTGATTAGTCTGGTTCTATTCGTGTTGGGAAACATTTAGGGGACGGACCTGTTTTCTGTGAACATAGCCTGTCCTCTGTCGGCTAGTAGAGCTGCCGTTGAAGTTAGGAATAAACTAAGAAAGCTAAAAACTGCCTTGTTTTCATCACAAAAATGCCACACAAGGGGTGTGTCTAAAATCGGGGCTGCATCCTGCCAGATTTGAAGGCCGATTATGACAGCACAGTGACAAAGATGTACAAATTATAAGACTCTTTCAAATGCAGCCCCCAAACTCAACCCTCTTTTCCCCGATTTAAAGGATGGGTCTTTCCCAGCTCACCATAACCTAACAGGAGATTGTACAGTGCCGGACTAAAATTACAGCTTGAAATGGTTTGATTTAGGGCTTTAGTCATTCTAAACAATAATAATTTAATTTTTAATGTTGCAGTAATTTTGACAGAGCTCTGATTTTATGTACAACTGCTATAACTCCTTCAGGATTACAAAATGGTAAATGGCCTGTATTTGTATAGCGCCTTCTTAGGGTTCTACAACCTCCCCAAGGTGTTTCACAACACAGTCATTCACCAATTCACACGCCGTCCAGGATGAGCTACGATGTAGCTACAGCTGCCGTGGGGTGCACTGACAGAGGCGAGGCCTGACGAGTACTGGCGCTACCGGTCTCTCCGACCACCACCAGCAGGCAAGGGGGGTTAAGTGTCTTGCCCAAGGACACAACAGCAGCATTCTCTGGTCAGAGCCAGAATCGAACCAGCAACCTTCTGATTACTAGACAACCCGCTCTACCTCCTGAGCTAGCTTAAACTGCAAGAAAAACATTTCATATTCCACCTTTAAGTCCATCAAAAAACTTGTAATGAAAGGAGCATCTGGGACTCGCTTTAAAAACAGTATTTACATGTATTGTTTACCTTTGATCAGTTTTACAATGTTTTAATGATAATATCTGGAATTTAAAACAAATATTTAAAGTCAGTCCTGCCATTAATTTAGAGAAGAAATATATTTTTTTACAATTCAGAAATATATGTTTCCTATTAAGCAAAAACTGTATTTTTTTTTTCCGTTGGTCTCAACTTTGTTTTTAAATCTCAGTTGTTTTGATTTGCAAGGAGGAAAAAAAACATGGCATGAAATGGTACATCCAGTACATCCTCTCTAGAACTTTCTAAATATGTCTTTGTTTTTGAACTTACTGTAGCAGCTTGCCAGCTGACCTTATCGCTGCCTCGCCCATCTCAGCACCTGTGTTAGGCTGCTTGCCCGGAAGCTCGCGCTCTGTGCCGCTCCAGAACAAACCCACCCTAATATCGAACACGCTGTACAGACTCGCGTGAATAAACAAACTCCTGAGCATGAATGAATTTGCCATTTTTGATGACGTCTGGCAACTTGTTTCAAGTGCGGAGCCCTAACGCAGTTTCAGATCGCTAATTTATGCATTTGGATCCAAGTCTACAACAAACTTCAGCCTTTTTTTTCCCCCTTAAACTCGTTAATCTCCTAAATCTGCTGCTAGTCGGCAGATGCGTAATGTCTTGAGTAATTTCTCATTTCCCCAAAATCTTGCTGCAAGGCAAAGTTGGTAGGGTCTACAAATCCTCAGAATGTTAAATAAAGTAGAGCAAAATGAACAAATATCTTTAATTTAAAAACACAATACGAGTTAGTTGGTAGGAAGGGATTTAAACATAATATAAGGCGAGGAGGAAAGTTGGTGAATGTTTTAAAAGTGGTGTGTTGCTCCAGAAGGGGCTGTGATGGTACTGATTAGATGTTCTGGTACTTCTGTTTGACAGTCTCACGACTTCCTTCATGACTTCATCTTTAACTGAGCTTCCGTTGTGAGAAACCTTGGTTAAAGACGTGAATACTCTTTTATTTTTGTAGTAAAATTAAATTCTCATTATCTTCACATCCAGGCGTCCTCCTGTGTGGGAAGCAGTCAGTTATTGAGGTGTGCTCGGTTGAGCGTGGGACCGAGACCGAGAGCACAACAGGGCGAGACTCACCCTGTCGGTCTCTGCCTGAGCCCCGGGTGAAGACCCTGCTCCAGCCTTACAGACTGGATTCTCTGGGTCTGGAGACCACACCCAACTCCCTCTGTACTCTAACAGGTCTGTCTCTGCCTTTTCCTAAGAAGTCTGGTTTTCCGTTTGAATCATCTCCTCGAATTCCTGCAGAACAGGCCAAACTTTGTTGTGTTTTTTTGTTTTGGGGGAGAAGAAACTGAATTTTACAGCACTGATGTAGCTTCCAGGCACCACAATCCAATGTTTGTGTCACTGTTTAAGACCACATAAAATAAAAAAAACCCACGTCAAATGTGGTTGGATTTATGCTCGTTATGGCTGTGGACATCTGCTGAGCTCCGTTGTCACCAATTTGTGACGCCTAAATAATAATAAATTGTGTTTTAACAAGTAAAAATCCTCCTTTGCAAACGGATCATGTTCAGAATCTGTCATGAGGTCTTATTTGACTCTTTCTAGTTATGTAAATGCGGTTTTCAAAGCCTAAAACTGATCAAAATCTGCATCTGCCGCCTCTACGTCCTAATTGAGAGTAAAGATCACACAGTGAACCCGGTTGGCTTTGGCCTCTCTGGGTGTACATGTTTGATCAGGTGGCTGAATGAAAATAAAGCAGGCTGTTTGCACTTTTGCACCAATTGGAGCTTGTATAAATTAGCAGTAGAGGCAGAAAAAAGAGCCCAAACCAGAATGCAGAAAACGTTTTAATCAGGTTTGTGTTCAGTATCCTGTTTAAGGTCCCATGATTGTGATGTCAGGCAGCTGTGGTTGTCAAAAAAACATGTTTTTAGGTGGGAAGTGCATTTCTTCTGCTTTTATCGCTTCAATTTCTCAAAGATATGAAAGGGGTGTGCTTATCTCTTACACCCTATCACCCCCTCGCCTATAAGAGCTTTATTTATCAGTGTTCCTCTCCTTTAGCCGTACCAAGAAATCTCAATAAAATGTGAAAATTTTAAAGCTGTTAGTCAACAGCATGTATTAAAAATATTGAAAAGTGTTTTTATTGCAATGTTTGGTTCATCAGGGGTGGTCGTTGGTGTGGATGAGAATACAGCATATTCCTGGCCTGTCTGCAATTCTTGTGGAAGCGACAATCTAAAATTGTCTTCCGAAAGCTCGTAAGTCCTCGTTATTTGTCAAACTAAGCTCCAAGCAAGTTCTTTGAGAAAGTTAATTTAACTTTTGTTGTCCCTTCTCAGTCAAACATTCCACTGCATGTCTTGTAAATCTGCGCTGGACAAACCAGACACCAAGGTTCAGCTGGAGGTGTTCCTGACTTCCTCCTCGTTAAACGACTGCACTATGAAGGTTAAGGTGAGAAGATTACAGGATGAGGTTAGAAGGAGGTTATGACGTTTCAAATGTTTCGAGAATGCTAACGTCTTTAAAGAAGTAGTTAAATATTCTGGGAAGTATAGATAAGATCAATTCCAGTCATGTTTCTGCAGGGATCTGAAACAGCTTAGCTTAGCATAAAGTGGGGAAACTAATCACTCTAGTCCATTCAAAAAAGAACAAGATAACCTACAAAATGTAGTGTATTTGACCTGATTGGTTAAGAACGATAAAACTCCAAGTCATTAATGGAGTCTGATCAGAAACTAATGATGTGTTTGCTCATTTCTTTAGGTCTTTAAGCCGTTTGATATGAGGTTATTAGTTAAACATCTGCTACTAACTCGTCTATTAAAACAAGCTGCACCCTGATGAGACGAAGCATTTATTTAATGCCATTTGTGACACCTGTTAACTCACCATTCTGCATGAAGAAGTTTTTCAGCTTCACCACAAAAAAGATCCAACAAACGTTGACAGTTTGGTGCTTTTTTTGTGTGTTAGACTCTAGTAGAGGTGGAGGGTGTCGCACAGTTTTGTTACTTTTTCTTTAACGGTACCAAACAGTCACATGGGGCGAGGTAGGTGGGTGCAAATCTTAATCAAATCGTTGGGAGTCTAAAAAACCTGAAATGAACCAAACGGATTTTGTGTCATCCGAGACTGTTGCTTTAGGCAAAAACGAGGAGTCTGCAAGGAAAAACATTTGAATGCCTGAAGGTGCTAAAAGTGTCTGTCCTCTGGAAGCGTGCACAAGCGAGACACTGCATCTTTTCATGCTTTCTGGGTACTTCTCTATAAACAGAACTCCTAGAGTTCAGATTCTGCACCGTAAAAAGCTTGCAGATGTGATTGTCCACATCTACGCGGAGGTCTTTAACCACCTGGCTTGGCCGTAATCGCTCATCAAGGTGAGCCAGTTATCAGCGCTCTTATCGAGCCTCGCTTTTGTTTTAACCCCTTCCAGCTGGAGGTCACGTCTGCCAGCGCAGCATGTCTTTCATTTACAACACCGAGGTGATAATATTATTACTGCCTTCAAGTGTTTTAATCTCTCCCGACAGCTGCAGCAGATGACGATCCTGTCCCTGCTGAATGCCGGCGCAGTGGAAGGTAGTGAGGTCAGTCTACTTATCAAACTGTTACATAAGTCTGAGCTCACCTGCAGGGTGATTTTATGCCAGTATGTCCTGAAAGCACAGTGATTAAGACTAAAACGCTTTGATCAAATCTCATTTCAGCTCCATGGTTATGACGTGGAGAGCATCTTGGGAAAAGAGGTGGGTCCCATCCCCGTTTACGTCCGGGTCGTCACCAGGAAGCCTGCTCTCTGGATCGGCCTGGAAGAAATCAGCCTGAGAGGCTGCCGATAGCAATCCTCAGACTTTGGCTGGCTCCAGCGATCTGCACACTGAGCCTTGATCTGGGCCAGTTTATCCTCCACCCCCCTCTGAAGGCCTCCCTGACAGCTTGAGGCTGTGCTGAACAGAACGGGGTACAAGTAGACAAGGTCTTGTTTGTGTTAATGATATGTGATCCTGTGCACCAGGAGTTGACAGCCCAAGGGTAAACCGGTGGCATGCAGTCTGTCAAACCAACCCACGTGGGTCATTTACCTCTCAGATCCACTATTTGTGACTTTTAAATTATCTTTGCTACCTCTGTTCTCAACTGTTGACTGACACTGTCAATAAAGCATTTTTTGTTGCTGACTTTGCAGTCTTATTTCCTGCTGCACTTCTTGTGTGAATCTGACCCCCTCAACACAAAAACTTTGTTATGCAGACTACTCACAGACCAGACAGTTCTGCACTCTCATTGGTTTTATTACAGATTCATAAACAAAACCATTTTCAAGATTTCATACAAACTATATAAAAGATCATGCTCTGGCTCTTATACAAAGTTTGGAATTATAAAACGTGTACCATATCAGGTATAACATGTAAATACAGTGGTAAGAATAATTTAATACGGAAAAATTCCCACAAAAATATGGCAGCAAAAAACTTTTTTCCCAGTGCCATTATGGTAAGCTTAAAAATGCATCTGTTACAGATGGTAAAAAGGTCACTTGAGGTATGTTCTAGTAAAAGTTCAGTTCATACAAGATTGATTGTGTCACCGGCTCACTGCGCTCGAGGAGACCGAAAAGGAGGAGTTGGGAATCTGTTTGAAGAAATCTCTGAGGCCGGTGAGCTCTCTGGTTAGCTGCTCAATGGTTTTGTGGAGCTTCTCGTTCTCAACACTCAGTTCGATCATCTTCTGCTGCGTCTCCAAGTTGCGCCTCTTAGCTTTGTCCCTGCTTTTCCTCACAGCAATGTTATTCCGCTCACGCCGTTGCCTGTACTCAACGCTGAACCTGTCTACAGACTTCTTTCCCTTCTCCCTGCTCATCTTTCTCGGGGAGGATTTGGCGGAGCTGGCGGCGGAGGACACGGGCTCAGGTGTGGTCGGAGGGGTCGGTTGCCCCGTCGGGAGGCTGACGGAGGTCTTGGCGCAGGTCTCGATCTGAGAAGTCAGTGATGAGGACATGTCGCTGTCACTCCAGTCGGACTCCTGCTTGATGGAGGCGCACAACGCCCCCTTTTCCAGCGACCCGTCCGACCTGTTTGGTGCGTACGGGGCTGACAGCTGCTGCACGCCCCCGGGCAGCACGGAGCTCTGCATGTTGTAGAAATCCGCCTGCTTCTCCTGCTTCACGGTGTTGAACAGGTCGAGGAAGAGCTCGTCGTTGCACAGCTCCAGGTTTGGCACGGATGTCATGGACTCGATGTACTGGCTGAAGTCGATGGCGCTCTCGTCGTCGTACATGGCAGGGGTGTTGCTCAGCTCCACCATGGTGCTGTCCTCCCCAGCTCCTTCCAGCCTGCTGCCCGGCTTGCAGAGCCCCTGCTGCGGGCCGCTCACCCTGTTGCTCTCGTAGAAGTTAGCAGGCTCCATCGTCCAGCTCATGTTGCATGGTGGAGACACGCAATGAGAGTCCAGGCTGTATATGTCACACATGAACCCTGCTGGCTTGTCCACGTGGGTCACGAAAGAAAAACTTCACGACAAAAAACACGAACTCTGATGTGACAGCAAGGCTCCACGTGGTTTTCCTTGACCGCACAGTCGTCTGCCTTTCTTCCTTGCCTCTTAGAACGGGCTTTTAATCCCTGGACGTTGTCTCTCAGGGCCCTGTCACAGTTTACACCGAAGTTTGACACTTCTCTGAAGCAGCACCAGTTTCGCGGAGTGTTTTGTATTGTTACTCCACTGACGTCACGATCGTGCCGCCCTCTAACGAACCAGTCAAGTCCAAACAGAAGTCACGTGGTGACGAGTTAGGGGCGTGTCCCTTCTGCCCCACACTTTCTTACTATGATCGTATGAATGGTTAGGAGTTGTTTACATGCTGCAGGATGTGCTCTGGATGTTTGGGAAAAGGATTAATTAGTCACCAAGAACACAAACACCCTGTTCCGTCAGGGGCAAGATGAAGTGTTTAGGTAGCGCGCGGTAAACTTAAAAAATAATAAAACCTTACAGGATATTACTCATTATCATAACCCGTTAATAAAGTCAAGAGATTTTTCATTAAGATATTTAATTTCTGGTTTGAATGGCTAATATTCTAACAACTCAAAATATCCTTAATTTATCATCTCTGTTGTCATTGTACAATAACTAAGAGTTAAATTTTGGAGAGCTACACGGCTACTAAATTCAATATTTGTGAACATTTATAATTTCACAAAAGTAATAAAATTATTCTATTTATTATATAAGCTACTGGCAGGCATTAACTCAAGTTGAAGCTGTTAACGTCGTTTTTCTGATGATCTCAAATGGTTGTTTCTGTCTGAGAGGCTCTCCTAAATCACCGACAGGCCGACACTTCTCGGAAATGTTTCTCATGGTTTCATCTTTGGAAGTTTGTAGTACTTTTCCTCTGATGCTTCCCTCTGGTGTGGAAAGTGCGCCACACGGTGGTTGTATTTGTACCTGCAGATCACACTTACTTCGAACATTTGATTTTCTTCCTCTTCAATTAAGAGCACATTTAACTGTTATGTCTCATGGTTAAGTGCTCACAGACCACCGTGTAATCAGCACATCACACCCACACCATCGCAGCAACATCATCATTTAATCAACAAACAGACCTCTCTTTAATCCCTATTTTGTAAAGCAATAATATAATTTATTCTAGTACTAACTGTATTCTTAGTCTTCTCTAAGTGTATGTGCTGCTGTAGCAAGGTAATTTCTCCACTGTGGGACTATTCTATTCTACCAACACTATTGGTCTGTATTGCATATTTTGAACCAGAAGATGGCGGAAGTCCTCTGAAATCCAACCAATACAACAAGAAAGTGAGCTATTTAGCCCTAGTATTATTTCAGTTATTGATTAAATAATTTCTTGCAGAACATGTAGTCATGCTATGACATAATTAAAGTATGCTGTCTTAATAAATGCAAAAGGGAAATATCCAAGCTAGACCACACATATGTTGAGTTTCTGTCTAACACGAAAATCGGACCTCAAGAGACTCACGGAAATTCAGAAATTGGTATTTATTTGTTTATTTTTATTATGTTTTTCAGACAAGTTAACAACTTGCTGTACAAGTTTCAACACCTGTTGTTAGCTAATTAAACATACCGATCAGATTTCTCCTCTGTAAAAAAATATATTTCTAAATTCATTAATCAAGAACTTTTCATAAGCTATAAATCATTTATGAACATATTAATTAACCACCAATAATTAATTCCAAGATACATTTCAGAAACTGGGTAAGAATGGAAACTTAGTCATAAACATTACTTTAAAAGGTCAATAAATTCAATAGTTTTGGGCCAAAGTCTCAAAGTCTCCATAAGTTAGCCAAACGTTGTAAAGCCGTATTAGGATAAGAAATGACGTAAAATGTTGTAATGAAAGATAACAGCGAAAATCCCATTTTCACAATCAGCTGTCCGTTTAAATCTGTAGCCTGATTATATAATGACCATAATAACGCACTTTTGCCATTTCATGTTTCAATCGCAAGAAAAAGTCGCTTCCTGTTGGACGAAACCAAATCAGCTAGGAGGCGTGATCAACAAAACACTTCACGTAGGATTCACAAAACAGGCTGCGAACATTAACATGAATAAAACAAACGTTTTAAAATTAATTTGATAGTTTTGTGGATTATGTAAAATTGTACAGTTATTAATGAGCAGAAAGGAGCAAAACTTAACCGTACACACCTCTGAAGTAAAGGAGTCGGCCGGAAACGGGAGGACAGTCCTTACTTTTTATTGGCTGAAAGTTCCCCGCGAAATCTACGTCAGCAGCAGATTCGCGCCACAACTGCGGCACTCGGACATACACAAAAGTGGTAAGAAAATCAGTAATTCTTCAAGTTAATCCTTGTTAAATCGGTAGGTAGCTTTTCAGTAACTGTACGCGTTGGCAAACAAGCTCATCTTAATTGCGAGCAAATGTTTGGGTTTTGTTTTTATTTAAGTCACATTTAACTCGCAGATCCAGTGAAATCCAACAGGCAGGGAGGTTCATTATTGTCTGTGCAGCCACATGCCAAATGGTGTCCAAAGTTAGCATAAGTGGCTCTAAAACTAACGGATGAGCATAGAACACCTTTTATTGAAGGAAAATGTTAACGTGACCAGATAAGTTGAGTCTGTTAATGAAGTTTGTAGGTCATTTTTGCCGCTAAGCGAGATTTTTCTGACTGTCGTGGTTTGACACTGCAGAGTTCTGTGTAGTTGTCTGACAATCAAGCGATTTCTATTTGAACCGGTCACCAATAGGAACCAGTAATAAACTGCCTACAGTTTAACCAAAACTCTCAGCATGTCAACTTGTTACTATTTAAAGTAAAAACTAAATTCTGAAAGTATTTGGTTGAATGTTAATTTAATTGGATTTAAGGAAATATCAACATGATGACTCCAACGCGTAGAATGGAGAAATTGTACAGAAACTGTTGGCAGTTTTTGATTATTTTTTTACGAAGCTTCTTTCATCCAAACAAAACATGCATCGTGAAAAGAAATGTATTGATCAAGTCTGAACATAAAAACGCTTAAATCACCCTAAGTCTTGTTTTTTGTCATGCAGATATCCCATCAGCCATGTCTTCCCCTGCATCGACTCCTGGTGGCCGCAAACGTGGAAGGAACACCAACCCTTCCACTCGTACGCTCATTTACATGTTCATCCCTGTGATGTGATTTATTGTTGTGAAGCATGCCTTGTTTACTTTGATGTTCTGTGTAAATCTCAGCGCTTAGGGAGGACCCAACCTCGCCTCCCTCTCAGCGACGCAGAGGTCAGGACTCCTCCACTGGTGACCTGATGCCTATGCCCACCTCTCCAGCCACAGACATGGCCAGTCCTGCAGCTCAGCAAGACACCTCCCTGTTCTCGAGCCCGCGGCCTTCAGGTATTTCATAGTTTTATTCTTTATGACCTTTTATAGAAGAAAACTGAAATGAGATTATTAATCTGTTTGATGGGATTGCTACAGTTCTGCCTAATGAAGTGGACATGAGCTCCCCTCTGATGTATGGGACCCCGAGCTCCAGGGTCGAAGGGACCCCGCGCAGTGGAGTGCGTGGAACACCGGCCAGACAACGACCTGATCTGGGATCAGTCAGGAAGGCTCCTCAAGTTGATCTTCATTCTGATGCAGTCAGTAGAAGAGCAAGTTTAATGTTTTCAAATCCAGCCTGAAAACAGAGAATCTAAACATTCATTTTTATTTTTCAGCCAAGTGCAGATGGTGTTGCAGCAAATGAACCAAATGCAGCCCAGAGTCTGGTGATCTGGGGGACTGATGTCAACGTGGGAACCTGCAAGGAGAAGTTCCAGGTATGACCGTAACTGATATGTGATGTCTTTTTATTAGAACAAGTCTTTATGATCTTTTTGTGCTTTCAGAGGTTTCTGCAGCGGTTCATCGACCCAAATTCTACTGAGGATGAGAACGCTGGTCTGGACTTAAATGAGCCTTTGTACATGCAGAAGCTGGAAGAGGTACTCGCTGGTTCTACCGTGATCCTGCAGATCGTGTTCAGGTATTAACTTTCATGTCTTCGTCTCTCAGATCAGCGTTGTGGGTGATCCCGTGATAAACGTCAACTGCCAACATGTGCAGTCCTTTGACGCAGACCTGTACAGGCAGCTCATCTGCTACCCACAAGTATGGTAGTTCCGTTTAAACTTTAAAAATGAGAAAAAGTAAATTATTAAAGTGGGAAACATCCTGTTGTGTATTTTTTTGCAGGAAGTTATCCCGACCTTTGACATGGCCGTCAATGAGCTTTTCTTTGAGCGTTTCCCAGATTCCATTCTGGAGTACCAGATCCAAGTTCGCCCCTACAACGCCCTGAAAACCAGAAACATGAGGAGTCTGAACCCAGAAGGTGTGTGTGTGTGTTCATTAATTCAGGCCCAGATGAACACATGCGAAACCTCCCATCCCATATTTTGTGTGGGGTTTCTGTGAACACTAACGCTTGTCGCCCCCACAGACATCGATCAGCTAATCACCATCAGCGGCATGGTGATCCGCACCTCGCAGCTCATCCCAGAGATGCAGGAGGCCTTCTTCCAGTGCCAGGTGTGCGCCTTCACCGTCCGCATGGAGGTGGATCGCGGCCGCATCGCCGAGCCGGGCGTGTGTCGCCACTGCAACAACACCCACAGTCTGGCGCTGATTCACAACCGCTCGGTCTTCTCTGACAAACAGATGGTGGGAGTTTGATGCTTCATGGTGACATCATCATCTGAATGTGGCAGGTGGTACTTAGTGATGCGTTGACAGATTCTGACATCTGTTCATTCACTGATCTTTGCAATAGATCAAAATTCAGGAGTCTCCCGAAGACATGCCGGCCGGGCAGACGCCTCACACCACGGTTGTGTACGCTCACAATGACCTGGTTGATAAAGTTCAGCCTGGAGACAGAGTAAACATCACCGGTAAGTCCTCGAACTCATCCCTGCAGGAATAAACGTCACAATAATTCCCTTGGAACATTCAACCTGAGAAGATCAGTTCACATTTCACTTGAGTGCATCGACTTTTTAAGGCTCTGATCTCTTTGTGGGAATTTTGAACCGGTGCTTGTTCCAACTCTTGTCACCTTTGTCTGTCCAGGTATCTACAGAGCGGTCCCGATGCGCGTGAACCCACGTCAGAGCAACGTAAAGTCGGTCTACAAGACCCACATAGATGCCATCCACTTCCGCAAGACAGACGAAAAGCGTCTGCACGGTCTGGACGAAGAAGCCGAGCAAAAACTCTTCACGGAGAATCGTGTGCAGACCTTAAAGGAGCTGGCGGCCAAGCCGGACGTCTACGAACGTCTGTCCTCTGCCCTCGCACCGAGCATCTATGAACATGAGGACATCAAAAAGGTGAACAGTTGGTCAGGGTGTTCTTTTTCCATCGCTCGTCATGAGTCTGAATAAGAATACTTGCTGCTTATTTGCAGCAGCAGGTTATAAATGCAAAGAATAGGTGTTTGAATGCATTCCTCAGTATCAGTTAGCACCCTGCCCAATAGGGACGTCCTAATTATTGTGTAATTTGTGTATTTAAATAAATTTAACCCCCACCTTCTTGGCTCCAGGGCATCCTGTTGCAGCTGTTTGGCGGCAGCCGTAAAGACTTCAGCCAGACGGGCCGGGGACACTTCCGTGCCGAGGTAAACATCCTCCTCTGCGGAGACCCCGGCACCAGCAAGTCTCAGCTGCTCCAGTACGTCTACAACCTGGTGCCCCGTGGCCAGTACACGTCGGGGAAGGGCTCCAGCGCTGTGGGTCTCACCGCCTACGTTATGAAGGATCCGGAGACCAGGCAGCTGGTCCTGCAGACCGGAGCCCTGGTGCTGAGCGACAACGGCATCTGCTGCATTGACGAATTTGACAAGATGAGCGACAGCACGCGCTCCGTGTTGCACGAGGTCATGGAGCAGCAGACCCTCTCTATTGCCAAGGTGTGTTTGGCAGATTTTAATGTGTAGAAGAATTTCTATGTAATGTCTTCAGAAGGCATTAAGATATGTGTGCGTTTTCAGGCTGGAATCATCTGCCAGCTGAACGCCCGTACGGCGGTGCTGGCAGCTGCAAACCCGGTCGAATCCCAGTGGAACCCCAAAAAGACCACAATCGAGAACATCCAGCTGCCTCACACCCTGCTGTCAAGGTACTGAAGAGTGATCGGATCAGACGTTAAAGAGCTTTTACGCTACTGTCACTTAAACTTTGTTCTGTTTGGTTAGATTTGACCTGATCTTCCTGATGCTGGACCCCCAGGACGAGGCCTACGACCGCAGGCTGGCGCACCACCTGGTGTCTCTGTACTACCAGAGCGAGGAGCAGATGGAGGAGGAGTTCCTCGACATGGCCGTCCTGAGGGACTACATCGCGTACGCACGGACCTACATCAACCCGAGACTGAGCGAGGAAGCCAGCCAGGCCCTAATCGAGGTTTTCTGAATAATTTTAATCAACTTTACCTAACTGTAAATCTCTTTGTTGCTGATCTGTTGTTGTGTTTTTTTGGGGGGGTTTAAGGCTTACGTTGATATGAGGAAGATCGGAAGCGGTCATGGGATGGTGTCCGCCTACCCCAGACAGCTGGAGTCGCTGATTCGTTTGGCCGAGGCACACGCTAAAGTTCGCTTCTCAGAAAAGGTGGAGACCATCGACGTGGAGGAGGCCAAGCGGCTGCACAGAGAGGCCCTGAAACAGTCGGCCACCGACCCAAGAACAGGCTTTGTGGACATCTCAATCCTCACCACAGGTATGCAGCAAGCACCCATCTCATATATATATATATATATATAAATATGTTTTTTTTATCTTTTAGTCATTTCAGAGTCTTGTTTTTCCTGATGTACAGGGATGAGCGCCACTGCCCGCAAACGTAAGGAGGAGGTGGCTCAAGCCCTGAAGAAGCTGATCCAGGCCAAAGGAAAGACGCCGGCCCTGAAATACCAGCAGCTGCTCGATGATCTCAGAGGACAGTCTGAAACGGTAAACCTTTCTGCTACTTTCAGTCTGGATGGGTTGTTTTTAAACTCTAAATAATCTCTAACTTCGTCTGTGTTCACAGGCAATCACTAAAGAGCTGTTCGACGAGGCGCTCCGAGCCCTGGCAGACGACGACTATTTGACGGTCACTGGAAAAACCGTCCGTCTTCTTGCTTGAGTCACATCCTGTCTTTTGTCCATGTCCTTTTTGGACTGTAAAACCTTTTGTGTAATTAAAGAAATGTTTGTTTTTGGGGACAGTTAACAAGACTTGTGAGTTCTTTGTGAGGAGCTAATGTCATTTTGTAATTTAAAATGAAGACGTGGGTCAAAATATTCACATAGATACAGATATTTGAAATAATGTTGAAGTTTTTTTGTTAACTTTTTTTCTGGACTTATGCTTGCTCTTTTTGTGCGTCTGTGATGTTATATGGAGTTAAAATGTAGCTTGCATTGATTTCATGCTGATGAATAAAAATGTTGCTAAGTCAAAATGTTCTTTTTGGTTATTTATTCACTTCTTACAGTTTGTTTTTATTTTTTACATTAGTATTTATGGTGAAGTACTGCCACATCATCACAACTTAAGTAGTTTGAGTCATCCTTTCATTGAAAATACACTTACTTTTTTATGGCATGATGGCACTCTACATTTGTTTTATAGACTAAGGATTTATTCTGCCTTGAGGTGTTCCTAATACAGAATGAGTTAAGTGTTGGGTGACCAGGAGACTTTCTATTTAGGATTCAGACATTTTCACAAAACTAGTGACTAAACGAGAAACTTCTGTTTTCTTTCCTAGACATACTTATTCAATTTTTATATCTCTTTTTGTCTAAAACTACATCAGAAAGGATGTATTGTTGAAAATGATACACCCACGCAACAAGAATTATAATACAAACAGGAAGTATTCAGTGCAACAAAGTAATTCTAAAGCTACTTTCATGACTCTAGTTTTTAAATGTTTGCTTTGTTATTTTGTTTTGTTCTAAATGTTTCTGTTTTAAAATGAGACCACGCAGAGTCACGTTTTGTCCGACACCCGCATGTTTTTATTGTGTCTATGTGTTTAGCAGAGCAGCTAGCACTTGCAGTTCGGCCGCAGCGGGGCGCTGCCGCACGCTCTGTTTTAACCGCTCTCATGTCACACCTCTGTGTGCTTCTGGACTGGATAGAAGAAGATGGCGGCCTCCTCAGGTTTGTGTGCTTTCTCACATTTAAAGGGACTCAAATAGCAGCCGAAGCTCCCACTCGTGTTTTAATTTCGCTGGTAGACAAAGGGAATTATCAATACGGCGCAAGTTTATAATCGCCATCACCTTAAATTTTCTCATGAGCACGCCGTTTCGGTGGATCGCTGCCTGAGCTCTGCGGGATGCATCTATGTCGTGGAGCTAAAGTAAGGCCAGTCGGTAGCTAGTGGTGAGTTAGCCGAAAACCACTGTGTCGTTAGAGAGATGAAAAAGAAAAACTCCATTGTTGTATGTTTTTCTTCAATCCATAATAAAGTTCTAGTGTTATTATGCTGCTTTAAGAATATTTACAGGGCGGGCTGATGAATGAAGACCAAAAGTAGCTACAAACCCTCCTAGCTAGCATAGCTAATTTAGCGACTAGAATATTCCATCACCGCACTGGCCAGATCCGTGTTTCCCGGCTGTATAGTCATTTTATTAGTTTAGTTTAACTCAAAACAATTGAGTGAAATCCGTATTTGTGCGATGTGGTGACCATTATTTAGCAGTTTTGAGAAAATGGCGAATAAATTGTAAAATATTCGTGACACATTGCACGCGTATTGACGGAAATGTTTATGTGGAAACCAGTCCGCTGTTTTTATTCGCTCTACTTCTGGTTTTAATCCTTAATAAAGTCCATTGTTGGTGAAGTGTTTAACGGTATTGGGTGGGAACCTAAACAATGTTTGGGTGGGTGAAATTTCGCAGCTAATGCAGATGGCACGCGTTGTTTCAGCAAGTAGTCGGAGCCCGCTTCTGCGTTATCGCGGAACGGGAAGCGTTGTTGCAAATAATTATTCGAAGTAGCCCAAATAAAACTTTTTTTTTTTTTACATTTAAATTTTTTCCCACCACGTTTAATTTTCAATTTCTTTGTTAAACGCATCGTGAACAACTATCACAACAACTATCACAAGAGGAGTTTTATTTTTTCGAACTGCATCGAGATGCATCTTGAAAGGGAGTTGCTGATCGAAACTACTCAGGTTAGGTTGGCGAGACCTGTCGAGTCAGTTTTGGCTTTAGTGCATTTCGCGTGGTGTTGCTATGGAATGCTTTTAGTTTCAGCGCCCTGAAATGTACCACGACACATATTTCAGATGTTTTCTTAAACGGTTGTTTGTAAAAACAAGGATTTGGGAGTATAAACTAGGTTATTCACAAGCTATAAAATGCATATAAACAGTGGTGAATGTGGACAAGGAGAATAACTATAAATGCGCCTTTTGGGCTTTGTTGCTATTTCCTTTTTATTTGTTACCAGATGGATAATCATGTAGTTTTATGGTATACATTTAAGGTCAATTCCAATAATTTGGTAATGGAAATGAAATATTTTTTATTTATTTTTTACGACGTCTTAGTAAATTATTTGATTATACTTTCTGCTACTGCAGTCCTGCCTTTTGGCAGTTAAATGTGTTTCTAGAGTGTTCTGAATGAACCATTATTACAATTATGTATGTAGAAGTTTATGTAAGAAGACTTAAGTTTTATTCTAACAAGAACTTTTATATTCGGAAAAGGGTAGAATCCTCCGGGTCAGGGATGAGGTTCTGCCTCAAGTGGAGGAGTTTGAGTATCTCAGGGTCTTGTTCACGAAAGCTGGAGCGCGAGATCGATAAGCGCATTGGTGCTGCGTCTGCAGTAATGCAGGCGCTGTTCAGATCTGTAGTGGTGAGGAGCGAGCTGAGCTAGAAGGCAAAGCTCTCGATTTAGCGGTCAATCTACGTTCCAACCCTCGTCTATGGTCCCGAGCTTTGGTAAGTGACTGAAAGAACGAGATAGCGGATACAAGCGGCCAAAATGAGCTTTCTCCACAGGGTAGATGGGCTCTCACTTAGAGATGGGGTGAGAAGCTTGGTCATCCAGGAGGGGCTCAGAGTAGGTCCACTGCTCCTCCACATCGAGAAGAGCCAGTTGAATTGGCTCAGGCATCTGATTAGGATGCATCCTGGATGCCTCCCTGGTGAGGTTTTTTGGGCATGTCCAACCGGGAGGACGGCTAAAGGGGAGACCCAGGACACGTTTGAGGGGCTATGTCTCTCACCTGTCCAGGGAACACCTTGGGATTCCCCATGAAGAGCTGGCCCAAGTGGCTGGGGATAGGGACATCTGGGCTTCTCAACTTAAGCTGTTGCCCCGTGACCTGATTCGGATAAGCGGCTGAAACTGGTGCCCAGTATTATTTTCATCAAATTGGTAACTCCAGTTTTTATTGAGTAAAAAAGGTGAAATAAATGATCCTGCTTCTTTCAGTCTTTTGCCCCAGTCAGTGTTTTTAAAAACATGTTCCTTTCACTTCTTGTTTTTGTACAAAGTTGACATCCAAGATTTTACATTTAATTTGCAGCAGTGCTTATCCAACTACTTTCCTGTAGACTTCCACAACTCCTCAAGTCATACTTCGTTTGAAGCTCATTGTGCATCATGGCAGGCTGCACAGCTAGTCTTCCAATAAAATAATTTACTCGATGCTGAACACCCACTAAAAACTTTTAACCTATTGTTTTTGTCATTCTTCAACTTTGCTGCTTCAGCAGTGGTCATAAGAGGACCGAAGGTTCCCCTGAGTCATTAATCAGATCTTATGGGACTGTGTACACGTGAGAATTAATTCTCGTGACTATTTCCAAACTCTTCTCAGCAATGCTGATTTGTTTCACTATCAGGTAGGATCAGATCTCTGATGCAAACGTCTCGTGTCGGAGTATCAAGCTAAACGCGGAGCGACGGTTGTAATTTTACTGCAGCCCTCTGTCAAGTTACTGCCTGTATCAGTCAGTCTTGTTGTCACATGTTTCAGCCTCACACGTCACACGGATGTATTGTCTTTAAGACTCTGAAATGGTAACCAAATTTGAACTCGGTTGTGACAAAGCACTTTTTATAGTGTGTTCTTTTTGGCTGAGTTGCAGAAGTGGAATACACTGTTTTAATTTCACACCAACTACTGATTTCTTATTTTGGAATTATTTTTGACCAGTCTACAAATCTGAAAATAAACATTTAGTCTTTAAAATGTCAGAAATCATGAAGCAGCAGTCAGATCTATTCTCTTAATGCTTCAGACCAAAGATTCCATACAGAACTGTCCAGTGCAACGATAAAGGATTATTGTAAATAGACTTTCATGCTTGTACTATGCAGCTCAGCCTTTATGTTTTACTCCTTGTTTTTGCAATAGCAAATTAAATGTTCTGGATAACTACACAGAAGCAGAAGAAATGTCAGGCTTTTGTTGTGCAGACGTACAACGTTCCAGCAGAGCGCATCCATCTGAATGTATTCTGTTCTGATTGATCCAGGAGTTAAAGTTCCACGCAATTTTCGCTTGTTGGAGGAGCTTGAGGAAGGCCAAAAGGGCGAAGGCGATGGCACAGTCAGCTGGGGCCTGGAAGATGACGAAGACATGACTCTCACACGGTGGACAGGCATGATCATTGGACCAGCCAGAGTGAGCAGGAGCATGTTCACCAATAACGGTCCACTTGTGATCATGTATTTAACACTAACCGATTCTTCTCCTGATTCCTTCTTTTCAGACCAATTACGAGAACAGGATATACAGTCTGAAAGTGGAATGTGGACCTAGATACCCAGAGACAGCACCGACTGTTAGATTTGTAACAAAAATTAGCATGAATGGGATAAATAATTCCAATGGGACGGTAAGATTTTACAAGAGAGTCGAGTTCAGATTATTTGATGCAACGAGTCAGTGATTGATTTATTGTTTTTCTTTGTTGTGCCCCTTAGGTGGATTCACGTAGCATACAAGTATTAGCAAAATGGCAGAATTCTTATAGCATTAAAATTGTTCTTCAAGAGTTAAGGCGTCTAATGATGTCCAAAGAGAATATGAAGCTTCCACAACCACCAGAAGGACAAACCTACAGCACTTAATCGTCATGGATTGTTTCGACCCTCTGTCTTAAACCTTTACTCTCTTAGAAATAATGTGTAAAGTCATCAAGAGGCTCACTTCGCACAGCATCATCTACAAGAGCAAGATTGGACTTTCTTCTTACATAGCTCATTGAAAAGAGAAATCTCCCTGCAGTTAAGCACTGAATAGATAGTAATGACTTCAAGATCACAGTTATTTGCCTTTTATTAGTTTTAAATGACATTTATGTTTGACCTGTTCCAGCTTGAGTAGGCTTGAAGAGGGAAGCATGATGCCACACAGGTTGTACCAATTCCCAATTGTATTTTCAAATGAAAGCAACACAGTCACTGAAGTAAATGACAAGCTGGGAGTCTGGAGGCATGTTCTGTGACTAATACCTAGTCAAAGAGAAGCAAAGTTAACTAAAAAGTCCACAGGTTTATTGAAATATCCAAATATGTGAACCTGTTGCTGTAGTTTTAAAAGTAGTGTCACACGGTTAGAGGGTTATTTTTTTTATGAAGATAAATATATATAATCTGTCTTTGACACAAGTATGTTTTTGTTCTGCGGCTCTTTGACATGTAACAGACGTTCAGTCCAGTTTTGTTCTGAATCCTTGCATTTAACTTCTAGTGAAAATGGCAGGTGTCTGAACTTGTGATTTTTCTGAAATTAAAATCACTGCGATGAAATGTCTGTTTTGACTCCATGTGTAACCCTACATAGTTTCAGTGTTGGTCCACAAGAGGGTGTTCAGGGACAAGTTTCTCTGCAGCACTGTTTAAGCAAATCCGTAGAATACAGTAGGTTTTGAATGTAAACAGTCCCCTCGGGTTACCTCACCTGAGTCACTTCTGTCAGAACCGGAAACCCACATTGCCAGAGCAGGAAACAAAGTGCTAAACACCGGTAACCGTTTTCTTGGTCCAAATGCAGACACACCCCATGCCTCTTTGAGGCCCTAAGCAGAAATAAGCCAAGTCATCATAAGCTATCACACACACTGCTCCCAAAAAAATAAAGGGAGCATATATAAGGCATTGCAGATCTGAATGAATGAAATATTTATTAAATACTTTGTTCTTAAAATAGTTTAATGTGCTGATGAAATTAAATTGATCAACTCATGGAGGTCTGGATTTGGAATTAAAGTGGAAAAACACATTGCAGGCTCTGTAGTGCATGTGTGGCCTCCACGTGCCTGTATGACCTCCATACAATGCCTGGGAATGGTCCTGATGAGGTGGTGGATGGTCTCCTGACGGATCTCCACCCAGACCTGGACTGAAGCATCCACCAACTCCTGGACAGTCTGGTGCAGCGTCGCATTAAGTGGATGGAGAGAGACATTGTTGATTGTTCAGCCCATGAAAGGCTTGATAAAGGTTTTTCTGGAACTTCCTTCATAAACGACCGTGAAATACGAAAGAGGTGATTGCAGACGACGGAGAAAGCCTGGAATTCTGCAGCACGGTAAGTCCTTATGACTTAAGTATTTGTTAATTAGAGAAGATGTAAATACATCTGTATTTTTAAATCCAGAGTTGTGGTTTTTCTCATTCAGGTGTCTCAACCTGCAGTTCTTGAAACAAAGGGGCCTGTTAGATGGGGAAAAATGTATCCCCAGCAGATTTGTGAAAAAAAAAAAAAAAAAACAGGAGGCGACCAACGTTTTCCGTCATCCTAGAGCTCACACAGGCTTTAATAACTTCAATTTTTGTCTTCAATACAGATTTTAAGCTTCTCTCTAAACCTCCCCTCCTCTGTGCTTTATATGGTAAAATGTTCATAAACTGGGAATTTCACCCACAAACTCTCAAAAGTGTACATGGCATCTTGATAGCGGACCATATTGTGTTTGTTTTTGCTACACAGCCACTCTCGCATGTGCACAAAGATGACAGAATATGTCAACAAAGATCCTCTACAGCAGTGGTCCGCAAATGGCGGCCTGCGGGCCCTCTCTTTGTTGCCCCCAAACCCCGCGTGCACCCCCCACCCCCGAGGCCGACCGGGAGATGTAGGATAGATAGAGCTGAGGAAAATAATCAATGCATGAGATGCAGGCGTAAACTATTCTGCATCATAGAAGAGTACCATAATCAATCATAGTGGAATGTAGTTTTGTTATTTTAACGGCGGCGCAGCATCCAGATCTGTCAGAGCGGTGATCTCCACATTTACCGGGTAGGAAACTTTGGTCTGCCTTTATGTGGTACTGCAGGGCTGAGCGCTGGAGTTATAACCTGAGGCCGAACCCGAACTGAATCAGCCCGATCGGTTCTGTTGGATTTGGGCCGTGAATTATGTTAATTGAGCGGGTTGCCGCGCGGCGCGCTCGCTCGCTTGATCAGCGACTGAGGGAGAGAGACAGAGAGAGAGGGAGATTGTGTGCTCACACAAGAAAGAGGATCGGAGGACGCTCCTCCAAACGCGTTATTATTTTCATAAGTTCATTATTGTTTCTCCTGGAAACGCTCAGCCGAGAGTTGAGATGTCGGGAGATGCGGTCTTGGAGCGGGGTGAGTGACGGCGGCTGCAGCGTAACCTGTCTCTTATTTAGGGACACGAAGAAGTCAAAAGGACAGAGAAATAGAAGATAGAAGTTCTTCCACTTTATTCTTAAACTGATGTTAAATTCAGCTTAAAGAGAAACTGGGTTCATTTTAAGTTACAGGAGATCTTGTTTCCTATCTGCTCCTCCAGAGACAGCATGGACATGATGGTTACATGGTGAGGGTCCCACAGGATAGGTTAGTGCAGTCACACAGCCCTAGCTGGGGGGGGGGGGGGGGGGCAGGCGCTGTTCTTCCTTATATTGCAAGCTTGTGTGTTATGTGCATTACAGCCAGCGATCCAAACAGCAGCAGCAGCAGTAAAATAAATACCATATACAGTTGAGGAAATGTTTAAGTACCTGAAGTGGTCGCTGCATAAGCCAAAACCTTTACTCTCGGGATCCCACAGTTTAATTTTAGCCTGGTCACTTGCGCGTTTTATTTTTAACGCAAACCTTTGTTGTTTCCAACACTAACAAAACAAAAATGGACCCCCACCCAGAGGAGTGGGGATCATAAGCCTACAAGGGAGCCTCCTTAATCAAAGCTACGGGACAGAGCATCTGCGATGACGTTGTCTGACCCCTTCCTGTGCTGGATCTCAAGGGGGACTTCTTGTAGCAGCAACGCCCATCTCATCAGCCTCTGGTTGTGGTTGTACATCCGGTTCAGGAATACCAACGGGTTATGGTCTGTGAAAACAATAGTAGTGAATTTACTATTTCCAACGTAAACATGAAAATGCTGTAGAGCCCAGATGAGTGCCAACGTTTCCTTTTCGATGGTAGAGTAGTGTAGCTGCGCCTGGTTGAACTTCCTTGAAAAATAACAAACAGGGTGATCAAGCCCATTAGAATCCTCCTGGATCAGAACAGCTCCCGCACCGGCGTGGCTGGCGTCGACCTCCAGTTTAAACGGCCACGAGAGATCTGGGGCAGCTAGAATAGGAGCACAGCATAGCAGAGTTTGCAAGGAAACAAAAGCGGTTTGACATTCCAGAGTCCACGAAAAGGATTTGTGTACTGAGCATGTTTGTGAGGGGCTGAGCAACCACAGAGAAGTTGCGACAGAAGCACCTATAAAATCCTGCTATGCCTAAGAACCGTTGGAGCTCGCGACCGGTGGATGGAGGAGGAAAAGACACCATGGCCTGGATCTTGTCAGTTAGGGCTCTTAAGCCCCATTCCCACCTGTACCGGGTCGGCCCGGGCCGGGTAGCGTAGGTTGTTTACATATCTGTGTGGCCTGGAATTTTCCCGGGCCAACCAAGGCTCATTCTCGGCCCTCTTCCCGAGGGGTACTGCTTCAGGCCGACCAGGGCCAACACGCCCACTGCTGACAGCAAATTCACACCTTCCATTAGAGCAAGCCTCTGATTGGTGGGTAGAATCAGCCCACATGGGCTTAAGACAAGGATGTGTGGAATCAACCGGGCCAGGCTGGGGCCGACTGGGGCTACCCGGCCCGGGCCGACCCGGTACAGATGGGAATGGCCCATTACTTTCCTATGGCCGACTTCCTTCCCCAAGTAGCGAACAGTGGCTTTAACGAACTCACACTTATCTAGATTTAAAGTGAGGTTGGCTGATTTTAGATGCTCGAAGACATGTTGCAGAACCTGGATATGATGATCCCAGGATGAAGTGTAAATCACAACGTCATCCGGATAAGCGCTACAGTTAGGAACGCCACCCAGAACTTGATTCACGAGCCTCTGAAATGTAGCGGGCGCATTTCTAAGACCAAACGGCAACACTGAGTACTGTAAGAGGTTATCAGGAGTCACAAATGCAGAGACCTTGGAAGCAAAAGGGGTTAATGGGACTTGCCAATAACCTTTTGGAAGGTCAAGTCTGGAAACAAAAGAAGCGTTTCCTACACTGTCCACGCAGTCATCAATACGAGGCAAAGGGAACGAATCAGGAATGGTGGCAGCATTTAATTTACGGTAGTTTGTGATGAACCGATACGTACCACCAGGTTTGTTTTCTAGCAAACAAGGCTCCATGAGCTAGTACTAGGTTTGGCTAGGCTGTTTTCGAGAAGGTAGTTTACCTCTTGTTTCATGAGCTCACGTTTATGAGGACTGGATAGATAGGGGTGTATCCGTACAGGAGTTGGATCTGAAAGAGCGATGTCATGAGTTACAAGATGAGTCTGTGAGGGGACATCGGAAAATAGCTCTGGAAAAGAGCAGATTAGGTCCTGTAATTCTCCCTGCCGAGAAGGAGAGAGATATTTCAGACCATTTGACAGGTTTTTAAGGGCTTCGGAACCGCACAGACGAGGTGTAATTGGAGGACCCCTAGTAATGACATGTAAGTCATCCGATCTATCATCGGGTCAAGTCTGGAAACAGAAACTATGGGCGGCACCAACACAGGACTGAGAGGGAAGTGATTCTCTCTCACAGAATAGTTTGAGTCGATTTATGTGGCAGACTTTTGTCTTTCTATGCATAAGAGGGATTTTTAGCACATAGTTGCGTGTGTTGAAGCAAGATGGCGCCCATGAGTGGCTGTGCGTCTGCTAGGCTCCTGGTCTGTTTTGGTTATTTGTTGTTTTTTATTGTTTTTTGTCTATCTGGTGCGGAGTCCCTGCTAACATATGATCGAGACTTACTGTTGTCGATCAGGTCCGCGATGATCAACCTCCAGAACTTTGTTTAAGAGCAAAACATCACAACATCATTCAGACTTGCTTCTCCAGATACGAGAGTTCTGATGACAACATCACTCACACATACACCGTTCATCTCACATCTCATTCACACCAAGATCCATCCATTCACTTACAATTTAAAGTTAGTATTGTGTAAAATTTTTTAGAAATAAATCTTCTTAAACGTTTTAAAGGTGACTCTCTCTTCTCTTGTTTCTCAGTTAATACAAAGTGTTACATAATCCCTGCAATAAAAAGTTCCAATCTTCTGGTTAAAAGTACCCAAAGATCCATAAGATTGATTTCATATTTAATATGGAATCTCATGTCTTATGGCTCATTAAATAGATGTAAAATTAACCCTTTACACTGATGACATGATCATAGCAGCGGAAACAGAATCTGAACATGACAACATCTTACAAAAGGTCATGGAGAGGGTGAAAGATGTGAATGTGAGGTTCAACAAGGAT